GGGGGGGGCTGTCCCCCGAATAAGTGAAACATGTAACACAGTTTACACAGAAATTAAAAACATTTGAGCAAAAAAAAACTGGAGCAGGACTACAGAGAGAGATAAATACAATTAAAAAAAAATTTTTCAGCGACTGTACGACCCACGGGGAGACACGACATTAACAGCAGTTGACATTTTATTCCTTGACTTTAAAGCAGATCCTTTAGTTCCAAGCTGACACTGCTAAAAATTACTTCTTTTTTTGTGGATCTCCGAGAGAAGAACTTCAATCTCCAAACTAGTTCCTTTTTACTTTGCGATGTCACTTATGAATGAACACTTCCTGGTATGTGTGGCAGGAAACATATATCCTTATATGGTGTTTTTTGGTATGGTAATTATGTAAATCACCTCTCCCCATGCACGAGCACCTGATACGCATTCATCAGTTTACGCAGCTCATTTACACACTTTTCCTGAAGATAGAAGGGTTTGTTGAATCTGATGTGGCATGTTCGTACGAACCCTTCGTACGAACAAAAGTAAGAGAAATTTAGGATAAAAATACGAACATGTCCTTGCATGAGGCCCAATGTTTCTAAGTGAATTTTGCCCTGATTTCAAGTTAAATACTTTGAGTTCACAAAGGATCCACAGTAGTGCTTACTGTAATGTCCCGACTGGCCATAACTGGGCGGTCCTCCTTGCTGACTGTACTGACTGGCTGCAGGCTGTCCATAGGAACCAGCACCCTGAGGAGGGTAGGCAGGAGGAGCTTGCTGCTGCTGTGGTGTCTGCTGTTGGTAAGCCTGCTGCTGGCTGTAGCCTGCCTGCTGACCCTGGTAACCAGGTTGTTGTTGTCCATATGATGCAGGCTGCGAGTAGCTGCTTTGGTTGTAACCAGCAGGCTGGCTGTTTGCGTTATAACTACAAGAGTAAATACAGAGCATTAGGCAAAACAATATGGATTATGTTGTAAAATAAACATCTATGTTGCTTGTAAAGAAGGAAATCATACCTTTGAGGTGCAGAAGGAGCAGCCTGTTGACCATATCCAGGATAGGCAGACTGGGCAGTGTAGCCTGGCTGAGTGCCATAAGACTGAGTGGGAGCTGAAGCAGTAGCAGCTGCTGCAGGTGTACTATCATAACCACTGGCTCCGTAACCCTGGGCTGTCTGTGTATAGCCATGAGTAGCAGACTGGGCTGCAGGATATCCAGCTGTAAACCAAAAAAACAAACATTTTAAATAATGTGAAACATGAACTTCAAATACAGCCCATGAAGTATTTAGAAATGTTTTGTTCAGGCACTGACTCCTACTTTCAGATTGAGGCTTTATTTACATGGTAGAAGCAGACCTACAACACATTAAACAAAAACTACTTTTATTAACTGACCTGACGCCTGCTGGCCATATGAGGATCCATATTGCTGCTGCTGCTGCTGAGGGTATCCTCCAGCTGCAGGGGCAGCCTGGGTGTAACTGCTGTCTGCAGTAGGTGTAGCAGGTTGAGCATATGCTCCATAATTCTGCTGACCATAGCCTTGCTGGAAGAAGGAAAATTCAAAACAAAAAACAGCTACACTATTAAATATATGTAAACTATAACGTATAAGTTACTTACAATTTTATTTATAGTTAAAGACATTGGTGCAACAAAAGCAACATTCAACAGAGAAAATACTACCAGTTTTGTTTAATCTCACCTGAGCCGTCTGCCCGTAATTTTGTGATGGCTGGGCAGCATAGGAGGCATACCTGTACAATGAAATCAGTTTTAGCAACTGGATTCATAGGGTCCCATATGAGCTTATGACTCTTATCCAGCTATGTGACTTTTACCATTCTTTTTGTCCATACATGATACTAGTACTACATAACATATCGTACAATTTAAAAGAAGATTTAATAAAGCGCCTGAAGTCCTATATTTTATTTTGAAATCTAAACACAGCAATGTGTGTAAAAAAAAAAAAAAAGAAAAAGAAAAAAAATTGACAAAACTCACCCCTGCTGAGCACCAGTCTGGCTGTAGGAGCTGTAATCTGTAAAAACATAGTAAAGTGGAATTAAGTTTCCAACAAAACACAGTTCGCGCGCGAGAAGCACGTCGTTACAGGCCCATGTGTCGCCATTCAATCAAGGAACATGCTAAATAGCAAACCAATATGTCACATGATTATGAAATAAGTACGCCTGTGGTCAGAATAAAATACAATCTGCTATGATGGTGCAATTTTATGCCATTTTCGGCCTGAATACGCATAAGTTAAAAAAGAAAAGCCATGCGGCAATGAGCAAACCGCTAAGCTAAGCTAAAGARAGGCCCACCACGCAGCGTTTCTTACAAATCAAAGTTCAACCGTAGACAAAGTGAAAGAATGAACTATTACGCTACTAAGAATGTAAAATTAATAAACATACATAACTTTATCTTAAATGCTTAACCTTGTAGAAAATTGGTCCAAAATAGCTTAAAAAAATCTACTCACCGGGAGCTGACGCCATTTTAGCAAATCTGCACGAGATGACCGGACGCTGCAAAAAAAGACGACGACGATCTTCTCTGCAACGAAATCTCGCGAGATAAAACCAACATCGCGAGAATTCTTCTGAAATCAAACTCCTGTACTATTCACATATAATTAAAAAAACATTTACGTGAATAAAGAAAATAAAGTGATGTGATACTATTTGAGTAATATAAACAGATTTATTGTGCTTTCATTCAAAATTCGGGTATGAAAAATATGAAGTTTAACACAATTTATACACGTTTTCTTTCTTATTTTATCTTCTAAATGATTGCATTCTCTGACCAACAATTCAGGAAAAAAGCTATGTTGCATTTTTTTTCACCATAAAACAACACATCAGCGCTTGAAACCTGAAACAATAAACTTCTGGGTCCGTTTTGTTTGTTTTTGTAGGTTCTGTACTGAGGAAGCATGGCCTGTAGGTGGCGGTAGACTTGTTTGGTGGACTTGTTTTCTAAAATCAAAGAAGAAGAATAGCTTGCGGAAGTTTGTTGGCTAATGTTTTGAGGTACATCGATTATTAGTTGCTTTCTAAAGATATGAATAATCTAAAATGCATTTTACTCTTAAGATTTTAGTTTCTTAATGCATACGTCTCTGATAGCAGAAAAGATTGAAAATAGCTCTCAGCTGAGCAGCCTATTTAATATAATGTATATAGTGTTAAATGCTAAGAAATAATTGTGTTAATGTAAACCCTTGATAGCTATTTTATTATTATCCTACACAGATGTTTATTGGCCAGAATAATCTTAGAATAAGAGGGAGGACGACTTGCAGCTGATGTTATACAATGCAGGGTCGTTTGTCGCCATTGAGATTTTGGTTTAGAGCAGATCGTCCTGGATTCTGCTTGGCAACATCTGTGTTGATAACAGTGATGTTGTTGATGTATGCTGGGGCCATTCAGGCAAGTCTCAGCTTAGGTCCCGGAGGAGATTTCCCAAGGATCAGAGGTAACTCAGTTTGATCATTTAAGGGATTCTAAAGCAAAAGTATCTCAGCTTTAGTAAAATATAATGCCTGTCACTGTTTGTTCTCCTCAGATGTGTTTCTGTATGCTCTCAGTCACGATGACCTGTCCTCTCTGCTGGTCAGTGTTGTGCTCCTGCTGCTGTTGGGACCATATCAGGAGAGCCGCTGGGGAACAGTCGCCTTGTTGGCCCTCTCCACCCTGACAATGATTTTGTTGCCTTTTGTTTACACTCTGGTCCTCTTTGTGGGAGGAGGTGAGGCGAGTCGGATCAGTGGTTACTCAGCTGTCCACCTCGCTCTGGTTACAGCGCAGTGTCGACAGACATCCCAAAGGAGGCTGATGAGGTGTGTACCAGTCTGGTTCCTCCCCTGGCTTCTCCTGCTGGTTGGCCTTCTGCTGCTGCCAGGGACGCCTGCCCTACTTCACTTTTGTGCGATATGCATTGGACACAACTGTATCCTTCTCTGCTTATACAGTCGGTTGATGCTTATCAGAATGCATCATCTCATCGTTTCTAGAGCTGCAGTCAGGTTAAAAATCTTCAGTTTTGTCTAACTGTACTTTTCTTGTGGTTTATGTGTGCGTGTTGTTTTTTATTTTAGATAAGACAAGGAGCATCCTGTTCCTGTCATCCTTTCATAATCTCTCCATGTAATATTAATTGGTTTGAGCCTAAAGCTTCTTAACCCATCAATCCATGATGAAATTAYTTACATCTGAGTTTTTTGTAATTTTTTCTTATAAATACTTAATATAACTTACAGATAATCAGCCCTTTATTAGGACATTACAGGAACTGGAGGAAGCCAAGATTTTTGACTACATTCCTGACTGGTTGTATGTTCCTACTTCAGCCAGATTCAGACTGCCTACCTTTGCAGCTCCACAGAGGTGCTGTAAATAATTCAAATTTAATATCTTTTAAATTACTACAGCTACTTCAGCAAGCATGGCTGACAAGTTTTGAAATTTCTTTTTTTTTCTTTTAACAGCTCACTTCCTCAGTTCTTGCCTGTCAATCAGCCAACTACTCCCCTAGCAAGAGATCCAACAGCTTTCAGCCACCCCTCTTGGATGGAACCTTCACCTGCTTGGGTGATGGAAGAGTCTGTCACACGTCCTGAGGCAGAGCTGCTGGAGGAGGAGATGCTAAGAGCAGGAATACTGGCATCTTTACAGGATGCTCCTGAGATGGACTCTGATAAAAAGGTCGAGGTGCCCAAATCATCCGTTTCATCACTACGGTTTGTATTTTTATGAGTATTTTGTCATTTAAATATGGTACTATGCAAAAATAAATTTGAAAMCACCATGATTTTCTCTTTAACCTGTTAGAATGATTACTTCAGCTGCTTTTTCCCCACATACTCTGCCCAGACCTGGTACCTGACTGTGTCAGCATGTCTGTTCCATTTGTCAGAAGTGTTACCTAGCTACAGCAGATGAACATTATCTGCARTTAATTATTTGCTAAGTTGTCAGTAATGTAAAAAAAAACACAAGTTCATTCAGTGTAGGAGCCTTTTAATGCTGTAGTTCAGAGTCAAGTATCTTAACAACTTAAAATTAGAAAAAAAAAATCTTCTAAAAATGGACAATCGAAGTTGAGTGAAAAAGCAGAA